CACATGGCCAGTAGAGACCAGTTCTTGGAGAATGACATCATGCTTTGAAGGGTGGAGGGACTGTGCAAGCTAGGAAGACCCTGGATGGGGTGGATTGACACAGTGACCATGTGTAAATGGGCTTAGGTGTATCAGAGACAGTGAGGCCGGCTCAGGATAGGGCAGACAGGGTTCAGAGTGTTGTTTATAGGGTCGTTATGAGTCGTGGTCAACTCAGTGTCACATAACAACAACATTTTATAAATGGCTCTTAAAACTATCACTTAAAGGAGCTCTGTTGGGGTAATCTATGCTTCTCCAACACGCCAACATTTCAGAGGTCTGGTGGCGTAGTCTCCAGTGAGCCATGCAGCTAACCCCACCAGTGGCTCATGAAAAAAAGTCTCCTCCTGTGGAATTTACAGCCTCTGAAACACCACGAGAAGACCAACTATGAGTCCGTTCTCACTTAATGGCAGTGAGGTTAGAGTGTGAAGTTTAGAATAAACTAAGAAATGCTGTTCTAGAGGATAGAATTAATTTGACGAAAATTACTGTTAATAATTGATAATTATGGTAAATAGTATGTAATAATCCTTGAGATTGGAAGAAAATGAATTCCTAGGGAGAGGTTTTGAAGTGGCAAACCTTCCTTTTGAATTGATATATTCCCTATTGAATAAGGTTTCTTTTTTCTTCACACGGAGATTAAAATTTGTTTCTCCTTCACCAGAAAATAAGATAACATCTAACCACAAAAGTAAACATATGTTTCATTTCCTTCTGCATATCATATTTAAAGAGACAAAATGTATGTCTATGTGTGCCTTAAAAACAATATAGGTGTAAAATGTAAAAATCTATTTGTTTGGCATAAGCAGTCTCTTTGAGTAGTGCCTTGTGATCTGTTTTAAGTTTTCTAGCCCATACACACACACACACACACACACACACACACACACACACACACACACACACACACATCCTACACATTTAAGACAGGAAGCACTGGTGGCCTAGTGGCAAGAAGTTGCACCACAAGAAGATGCAGTTCAAATCCACCAGTGCTCCGTGAGAGAAGGATGGGCAGTCTCCTCCCATCCAGTTAACTGCCTCTGAAAACCCTCTGGGAGGGTCCGCTATGGGTCAGTTATGACTCAACAGTACACAACAACAGAATATTAAAATTGTTCTGGCTTTGTCAGTGCCTTGGTTTTAAGTGACTTGTATATATAAACTTCTGGGGAATGTTTAACCACCACTCCAGGTCCCCTGTAGGTTTGGTAACTGTGACTGTGGCTTTGAATTTTCTCAAATATTCAAGTTGTGACAGTGTAGAGCTTTTTGTTTTTAGGAATAAAAGGGTTATTTGGTTTTTATTTTTAAGATTTTGTGTGTGTGGCTCTGTAACTACAGTGTCCTCTAAAAGAATAATCTCAAAATTATCCTCGAATCTCCACAAATTGAAGCATTGGAACCAAGATCCAAAGACCAAGTCAAGCTTCTTAAAGGAGTATACTGTCCGTTCATTGAATTCTGTCTGCTAGCAAGCCCCCATCAGAATTTTGAGGCTGTAAACCTTGACAGAGCCTGCACATCCTTGGAGCATCTGGTAGATGTAAACCCCAAAGACTTGGCCTTTTGGGTAGCAGTAACAGCACTCTGGACTACAGCACCAGAGCTCCTTCAGCCAAGGGTTAGATGAGGAAACGAAGTGATCCACTAGCACCAAGACTATTAAAAAATATGAGAGGAAAAATGCTCTCCAAGAATCTATAACCACGATCCTGTTCACTGGCATGAAGCAGGAATCTTAGTGGTGCAGTAGTTAATTATCTACCAACTGTAAGGTCTCTGGTTCAAACACAGCTGCTATATGAGAGAAGGATGTCTGTATTGGGAAGTCAGGGGAGCTGAGTTGACATGAGTTGGGATCAGTCCAATGGCAACTGACTTGGACTTGGTCTGAGAATATCTAAACTGAGAAATTCATCCAAGAAGGGCTAACTACAAACCTTTGAGGTAGTTCTATGGCAGAAGCAAATAAAACCTTGAAAGGAGAGGCTTTGAAACCAGGTTGCCAAAGTTTTCATGGTTAAGCCCATGAGAATGAGTTGTATCCTCAACAGAAAAGATTGAAGAAACAAGCTCCCATTATTAAGAGTTAGGAGACAAAATATACAATAGGATTGTTTCTGAGAAATATGCATTTTTAGTATTTATAGATTCACCTGATATGTTTAAAATGACTAAGAGTTTAAGAAAATGAAAATATAATCAAAAGAGACTAGGCAGATTTTAAAGCCTGCGTCTTGAAATGATGCAGTGGCTCATAAGAAGTTACAGTCAGAAACAAATATAGTATGAGGGTGAAGATAACGCAGAGTTATAAAAAGGGAGATGCTTTTAGATCCGTAAAACCTTCTTTCACTGTTCAGATACTAAAATGCCATCACCTAAAGTAAGGTCTTAAATGTAATAGTAATGATATTTACTGATGTATCTGGTTGGTTCTTTTTGTGGGTTAGAGTATCATTTTATGAAATGTTTGATGTTGTTGTTTGATAGAGACCCTGTGTACAAGAGCTCTAAACCCTGCCCTATCCTGCACCAACCTCACTGTCTTGCATACACCTACTCCCATTACTCCAATCACCAAATTGATCCATCTCACCAAGGGTCTTTCTCTCTCGCGCTGTCTCTCCACTCTTCCGAAAATGATGTCCCTTTCCAAGGAATGGTCCCTGTCAGACGAAGCTTTAGAATCCTTGCCTCCAAGGAGCAGCCCGGTTTCAACTTCTCAAGGATAAACCTGTTTGTTCTCCTAGCAGTCCATGGTATATTCAACACTCTTCTCCAGCACCACAGCTTGAAGGCATCAATTCTCTTTCTGTCATCCCTAGTCACTGACCAACTCTCCAATACATAGCACGCAGTTGCGAAGACTATGGCCCGGATCAGGTACACCTTAGTCTCCAGCCTGATGTCATTGCTCTTCAGTACTCTTGAGAGGTCCCTCACAGATGACTTTCACAATGCAATTTGTCTCTTGATTTCCTGGCTGCTGTTACCAAGAGTGTTGACTATGGAGCCAAGCAAACTAAAACTGTTAATTATCTCACATCTATACTGATGCTGCCAATTGGCCCAGTGGTGAGAATCTTTATTTTCTTGATGTTGAACTTCAGTCATATTGAAGGCTGCAGTCCTTGACCCTCTGCAGCAAGTGCTTCAGGTCTTCTTCAGTTTCAGCAAGCAGGGTTGTGTCATCTGCATAACACAGGTTGCTGATGAATCTTCCACCAGTCCTGAGGCCACATTCATTCCTCCCTGTATAGGAGTTAAATAATACAGTTTTTATTATGATTTATCAGTGTCTAAAAATGGATACTGCTGTAATGGGTGTGTTTGTGTGTGGGGTGTGTGTGACTGTTGTTTTGTAATGAGAAAAAAATTATTCTTGAGACAATTAAGAACATCTCTGGTGGCCTGGTCCATTGGGAGATACAATGTTAACCGAAAGGCCACAACTCTGGTGTTTTGAATCCTGAATCCACCAGTGGACTCTGTAGGAAAAAAGATAGTTAATCTCCTGGGCAATATATACCCCGATGGAGGGTCAACTGTGAGTGGATTCTGACTTGGTGACAATGATTTGAGCTGAGAGTTGCTGTCAAGAGAACTGCCATTCAACCTCTTCAGAGTGAATGGCCATTGAGTCAAAATAATAATGAATTTTTATTTGAAATTTTAACAAAATCTTTTTCCTATCTCCCTTATTCACTCAGCCCAGTCTCAGTCCCTTTTTGTTTCCTGTACAATAAAATTGTATTTCTTTAGTCTACTGATATTTTTTCTCTCTTGCTCATAGACTTCTAAAAGTGTATTTGCAAGTCTCAAAATGGTTTATTTAGCCTGTTTAAAAAGAACATAAAATTAAATAAATTTGCTTTCTTTCTCTATTTAATAAGCATTTCTCCTGATTTTTTTTTTGACCCCTCTCATTCCTATGTCTGTTAGGCTGCTGACTAGTAAAGTGGACGTTCAGTGAAAATTATCATCCATATTTTTGTTGTTATGTGCCCTGGAGTCGCTTGTGATTCATAGCGACCCTGTGTACAAGAGCTCTAAACTCCGCTCTATCCTGAGCCAACCTTACTGGCTCATTACCCCAGTCACTGAATCTAGCCATCTCACCTAGGGTCAAGGGTCTCCTCGCTTGGGTCAACTGTTCTGACGTGGGCTAGAGTCAGACAAAAGGAAATTTTTGCATTCCTGTCAAATTAGAATTTCACTTTGAAATATCCTTTGACCTTTGTGTGTGTGTGTGAACTAGGTATACCTAGTCCGCTTAATTTTAAAAGGGTCATTAATAAGATGTGATTATGATTATTGAAGTGGAAAAAGAAGAGTTTTAGGGTATTGCTTGCTCTTAATAATGTGCGTACCCAAAGCATGTACATGTTCACACCCCTTTTCTAATGTATGTTTCCCCCATAAAATTGTTTAGTAATATCTTCCACTTATTGCTATCCTTCCTTTTTAACTATTACAGTGTAAATAATAATTCAGTCATTATGATGTAAATGTATAAATGTATTTGAAAAGTAAAACTTTAATTCCTTAAGTTTCTTCTGTCTTACTTTTCTAGCCTTCAGTCTGTACTTTGACATTTTTATGAAAGTGCTTTAAATGTCTTCTGAAATTTTGTCTCCTTATAATCACCCAGCTATGAATTTTCAAATGAACTCACTTTTATTTCAAACTGTGCTTTAAATTTCTTCTGCTTGCCCTTTATGTTTCCAGCTGATGTGTATATTATCAGAATATGAGGTGTTTGGAGGTTTTTCCCCCAGAATATAAGGGGGTTTTTTAGCAGGGAAATGCTCACATCCTCTCTGCACATTTCTATATGCAAAAGGAAGCATAGTCTTTTTTAATCTTTTCAATCAGCATCATTCTTTACAGCCATTCTTATGTAATATGTATGGATATTAAATTATGTTTATGTTGTCATTTAGGTGACTATTATATGGTTAAAAAGATTTTGGAGGAGAACTGTTCAGGTGACTTGAACATAAATTGCGTAGATGTGCTTGGGCGAAATGCTGTGACCATAAGTATTGAGAATGAAAACTTGGATATACTGCAGCTTCTTTTGGACTACGGCTGCCAGGTACAAGGCTGGATATTACATCCAGCGGCTTCTACCGACTGTTACATGATTTCTATCTTCCTGTTGTTCTTTGACTTCTTTCTTTATCTCTCTCTCTTTCTTACACTTTTTGTTTGATTTTGAGTCACTTCAAAAGTTTTTAAAGCCATCTAACAAAAGCAGACTTGAAATTGATGTGTCTTTTTCTCTTCTCAAATTTCCCTTTCCCTCCTTATCTTTTTTATGTTTTCCAATGCCTAGTAGGAGTTAAATGTCATGAACTATTAAAAGTGATTTTTGTCTGTGTTGCCTGTATTATAAAAACTATTTATGCTATATATCCAAAAGTAGAGCAGATGTTCTTGGGAGTATTAAGGGAACAGGTTTTTCTGCGCCCTAATATCTTTAAAAAGCATCAGAAGAAAAAAACTCCTGACTTGCAAAGCAGTTTTGAATTTTACTTAGTTTTCCTTCTGAATTGGATTTTTAAAAATTAGATTTACTATCTTTTTTATGGAGGAGTTAATTGTTGTGAACTATTATTATAAAGGTGATTTTTGTTTGTGTGCTGTATATCTAAAAGTATAGCAGATGTTCTTGGCAGTGTTAAGAGAACAGGGTTTTCTGTGCCCTCATGTCTTTAACAAGCATCAGAATACTCCTGACTTATAAAGCAGTTTTAAATTTGACTTTGTTTTCCTTCTGAATTAGATTTTTAAAAATTAGATTTTTAATACTTTTTTTTTGTCTGTAAGTTAATGCTTGCTTCTAACTAAAGATGAGCAACATTTTTTTTTCAATTGGAAATGGGGAAACTTTGTGTTTCTGCAGTTCAGGTAGAAAAGCACATGATCCCTAAAAGAATCAAGAGAACATGAAGTAAATGTGGTAGCATTGTTTACTTGTCTCTTTGGTTTCCTTAGATTTAGACACATTTATTCTGGCTTCCCCTCCCCACGCCCACGCACATCTTTCAAAGGCGTGATTGTGTACTCTGTTGTTGTTTTATATTAGTGAGGCATAGTTTGTTAAGTGACATGAGAATAGACTCATTAGCTTTACCTATATAGTGAGCAACCATATTTGAGTATAAGTAGGCAAGTTCTATGTACATTTCATGTATATATATCTCAAATTTATATGCGTGAAATATATATTTATAGAAATTGAAATTTATATATATAATTTGCATATATATGTATATGCATGGTGCTGTCTCTATATATACTTATTAAAAAATTACTTCTCCAGTAACCTCAGCAAACAGCCGAGAACCAGAAAGTAAGTAAAAAGGAACTGAGCAGCAGCCAGGGCTGGTAGCTATTGTGAAGTCACCACATGAAGTATATGTACTTTATTGATCCCAACACTTCTGGAGCCCACTTTCAAGTCTGCTTTCTCATATTTTAATTTCCATTTCAGCAAACATAATTATTTGATTTCCTAACACATTCTGTTAAACAGGAAATGGAGGGGGCACAAGACCTGTGGTACAAAATGAGTGGGAGCAGTGATACCATTTAATACCAAAATGAAAGTGTTAAATATCTGCTCATCTTAAAGGGAGATAAGGATTTATATGCAGATATTTAGGTGGTGTTGTTAGGTGCTGTAGAGTTGAGTACAACTCATAGCAACCCTATGAACAAAAAATCTGAACCCTGTTCTGTCCTGTGCCATCCTCACACTTCCTGACACCCAAGCAGCAGTCACCATATCAATCCACCTCATTAAAGGTCTTCCTCTCCAATTATATATATAATTGTAATAATTATTTAGGAGTGTATGTATATTTCATCCTTCTGAGATTATCAATTACGATCTATAATATCTGATTATAATCTCGTGTGTGTGTGTGTGTGTGTGTGTATATATATATATATATATATATATATATGATTCATACGTGTGTATGCTTGTAATGTTAGTAACAATGGCCCAGAGTCAGTAAGAAAATGTTAAATTATATTCAGTATCTATTCTTGTAGAAGAAAGGAGAAATGTAGTTCTACTGAAAAGACAAGGTTTCCACCAAAATAGTTAAGAATTAAAGTTAAATTCTTAAAGGCATAAGCTTCAGTTACCTAGAAAATAATACATGCAGTCCCTGATGAATCTAGATAAATGATGTGTCATGTAATAATAATATTTAGGGTCTTTTTAATCCATATGTGTCTATGCATATAATAATAATAGTAATAGCAGCTATATAATATACTTGGTTATTTTACATGGTCACATTTCAACATCTTAGTTACCTTATACAGATCTTACACTTTATAGATTTAAAAAAAAAACTGAGGCTCAAAGACTTTAATGAATTGCCCAAAGTTCTAAAATTACTAAGGGCAAAGCTAAGATTTTTAACTTGATCTTCTGACGGCAAATCCCATGCTTTTTCCAGTCCTCTGTGTTGTGTCTTAGGTTATGTGTCTTACCTATTAGTCAGCAAATGTCCAAGAACTTATGTTGAGTATGATTGTGAAAACTAGTAAAGTGTAAGTTTTGTCATAAAGAATCATGAAGCATAGTATGAATTACAAGTTAATTAATTAATATACATGTTTACTTGGTAAGTACTGATTGGTAAAATATTCTTGAATATGTGTATTGTTTTGATATTCCCAGAGTGCTTTCATTTTTTAATTTCAAATATTTTACCTTGTTTTGCGCCAGTAGCATCATGTGGGCATGCCCAGCACCCAGGACTTATCTGGCATTGCCTGGAGACATTGTTGATCATCAGCACTGAAAAGCAGGTTGCTATTGGCATCCAGTGGACAGAGATTAAGGGTCCCACTAAATAGCAACTAGGGTAGCCCTCACAGCAAAGAATTATTCATCCCAAATGTTATTACCTTGCTTATACTTAAACCTAGTATATAGTTAACATTTGTGGTTCATAATAAATGTTAGAAATACAGGAACAGTAAGATCACTGTGGATGAGAGTGCTCAACAAAGGTCTCCTGGAAAAGGTGTCAGTAGAACTCAGCCTTGAAATATTGGAAGTTAATATTTATATTTTGCTCGTCTGTGCCACGAGCCTTATGTTGTGTCAGCTTGATTCTGACTCATAGCAACCTTATGTGCAACCAGACAGAACATTGTCTGCTCCTGTGCTGTCTGCCCCATCACTGGTACGTTTGAGTCCACAGATGGGACTTTTTTGTTATATCATCTTATTGAGGATTTGTTTCATTTTCTTTGACTGTATTTAATTAATCCTCAACTAAAATCCTAGCAGGTAGGCCCTGTTATCTTCACTTTTAAAAGGGAGACAATTAGGCACAGAAAGGTTAAGTAACTTGCAGAAGGCACTCCATAAATAGCAAACCTAGAATTCTGTCGTTGGGTTCTGAACTCCAGAGTACATACTCTCTGCTACTATTCTAAGCCAATCCTCAGAATATACCCGTAAACACAGAGGACAGGACAAAGTTTGTGGAGAAGCATGTAAGCAAAAGCACATGAAATCTCTGCTCTTAGGACAGTGAACTGATTTAGCCTTTTAGAATAGTGGCACTCTGGTGGTCTGGTGGGTAAGGACTCAAAGGCGAGTGGTTCAAATCCACCCACTACTCTGAGGGAGAAATTCGGCAGTCTCATCCTGTGCGATTTACAGTCTCTGAAAACTTCCTGGAGGGTCAGCTGTGAGTCAGTTCCAACACAATGGCAATTAGAATTTTAAGAACAGAATGAATAAATAGTGAGAAATATCAGGGTGAAAACTCCAAAACTAAACAAAAGGCTGATGTGAAAGGCTTTGGGTTGTTTGTGGGTTCCTCACATTTTTAAAAATTATGTTTCATTCATGTACGTTGGTGTTTTGTTGGTGTGTTTTTTTGTTGTTAATTTTTCGCATCCTCCCTCCACCCACCAGCTAATGTGACTCCATGATTTCCCCTCCACCCCTCGCAGCTTCCCTGTCCCCTCCCTTTCCTCTTCGGATATCCATATGCATCTTCCTAGTTATCCTTCTGTTTTTTTCAATAATGGCCGTAGACATTAATTGTTCTTATGTGAGTGTTTGGTTGTGGTGGTTTGTTTGTTTTTTTTTTTGGTTTGGTTTTTTTTTTTATGATCAGCAATGGCCTATCATTAGATGATTTCTTGAAAAGAGCATGATATATATCTGGTGGCAATTTAAAAAAAATAATTTTTTAATTTTCTTGTTTGTGTGTGTGTGTGTGTGTGTATGTGTGTGTGTACGTGTGTACTGTCAAACCAAATCTGACTGGTACTGGAGGAGATTGTCCCTCCTTCTCCGGTGGAGCATCTGGTGGATTTGAACCACATGCCTTTGGGACTGAAGCACAGCTTCTTGCCACTAGGCCACCAGAGCTCCCTGATGGCAATTTTGGGAGTTCAATTTAGTGAGATGTTTAGTAAAAGTGGGGAAATGGATGGAGGTGGGGATGATGGTAATTGGCTTTCTTGGTCTGTTTTTGTAGGAATCCAGACTTTAAAAGGTTATAGTTTGAATGATATTAGTACAGTAAGAATGGGAGGGGCAAGTAGCAAATATAAGAAATAGCACAAGGGATAATTGCCAGCCTTTCTAAGGAAGGGAGATAGAAGTCTCCTCCAATAAAGATAATGACCTTGGAAACCTGGTGGAGGGTTACCATGATTGGTCACTTGACTGTGATCCAGGACTCAGATGCTGACGGAAACGTTGGTGGTTTGAACCCCCCAGCCACTCTGTCTGAAGAAGGCGGGAGCAGTTAGCTCCCATTAAGATCTACAGGCTTGGAACCACTGCGGGACAATTCTGCTTTATCCTTAGTGTCTCTGTGAGTCAGAGTCAGCTCAACAGCAGGAATTGATTTTGTTTGAGTCAGTGTTTGGCGGGGAGAGAAATTGAGAATTTTGGGATTTTAAACATGGAAGACCAGGTGAGAAATAACAGAAGAAAAGAGTTCAGAAGAGAAGTCCAGCTTGGGACAGAGGAATGTGACTTATGGTTCTAGCCTTGTTTATTTGGTGATATCAGATAGTCTTTAACAGGCAGAGATGGCGATTATATCTCCAAGGGCAGATCAGGCTAGAACGATAAAGTCGGTAGTGGTGAGTGTGGACATGTCAGTGCCTGGAAGGGCTGAGGGAGATTCCGGCTTAGTGAGCATCTGCATGTATGGGGAGTAGAAGAGGTTTTCATTGTAGAGGACCACATACTTGCTTAAAGATGTCAAGCGTCATTAGCTAGTTTTATTTTTGTTGTTGTTATGTGCTGTCGAGTGGCCTGCGACTCATAGCGACCCTATGTACAACAGCCCTAAACCCTGCTATCCTGTTCCAATCTCACTATCTCTGACCCCATGACCCTCATTACTCCAGTCACTGAATCAATCCATCTCATCGAGGGTCTTCCTCTCTTTTCTCTGTCCCTCCACACTCCCAAGCATGATGTCTCTCTCCAAAGACTGATCCTTCCTTGCAACATGTCCAAAGTATGTCAGATGAAGCTTCAGAATAGGTTTAAGACATTGTTTAAAAATCAAGGAGAATGAGGTCAAAAGGCCATTGGATTTTGAAAACATGGCATCAGTAGACTTAGCGAAAATTTTTATTTGACTTGCCAAGTTAGAAATAGTCAAAAGAAGAAGCAAACTTGTAATGGAAAGGTAGAATTAAGTCAAGTTAGGGATGAATGAAGAGGTTTTAAAGTTTTGGGAGGAAGGGTTGGTATTTCTGCAAAGGAAGGACCCTGGTCCTGCAGAAGGCGGAAGAGTAGGAAGTGGAATACCGAGATGGAGAATCTAGCTTTGTAAGGGGATGAATGAATTTCTTAATCTGAACTTAAAGGAAAGAGTATGGGAATTGTGAAAGAGAGAAATGCTGACTTGAGAAGAAAAACAAGGTCTTCATAAATACATAGTAAATACATACTTTAAATAGATTAATTGTTATTAGGTGCCATGGACTCAGTTCCAACTCATACACTGTGTACAACAGAATGGGATGTGTATGGTCCAGTGTCATCCTCATCAGTTGTTGCTAGATTTGAACCCATTGTTAAAACATATATTAGTTAGAATGGTCAAATGTTTATGAAGAACTCTGGACAGTAACTAGGGGGCAAAGTTTGTATGCCCATAGATATTTTTTATATGTTGTTGTTATGTGCCATCGAGTTGCTTGTGACTCATAGCTACCCTATGCACAACAGCCCTAAACCCTGCTCTGTCTTGTGCCAATCGCACTGTCTCTGACACTCCCATCCCGATAACCCCAGTCACCAAATCAATCCACCTCATAGAGGGCCTTCCCCTCCTGCACCGTCCCTCCACCCTCATGATGTCCTTCTCCAAGGACCCGTCTCTTCTTACAACATATCCAAAGTATGTTAGACGGAGCCTCAGAATCCTTGCCTCCAAAGAACCACCTGGTTTAACGCTTTCCCGGATGAATCTGTTTGTTTTCCTAGCAGTCCATAGTACTCTCAATACTCTTCTCCAGCACCACAGCTCAAAGGCATCAATTCTCCTTGAGTCCTCCTTGGTCATTGTCCAACTCTCTGATCCATAACAAGTGATTGCAAAGACCATGGCCTGTATCAGACGCACCTTAGTCTCAGAGAGACACCATTGCTCTTCAGTACTTTGGAGAGGTCCCTAACAGCAGACTTTCCCATGGCAATATGCCTTTTAATTTACATAAGTTAAATACTTTTTTTCCCCTTCAGAAATGCCCTTGGTTTGTAACATAACCATCTGTGCAGAGAAAGTCTGTGGTGAATTCTTCTTATTTACGTTATTTTTTAAAAGATACAAATAAAAAAATGCAAGTACATATTTCTTTTAACTGAAGCTTATCCTTTTAACTTGAAATGTTATAAATGGTTATTCTTTACTAAATAATGTCATTCTGAATATAATTTAACTGTAAGTTGAGTGTAATTCTTTTACATTGCTTCATGCAGTCAGAAACTGTTAACGTGTTTGTCTTCCTATAAAGCAGTTTTTGGATGGTTGTGTATTGATAGTGATTTTGCTATCTAGTGTTTTATTTTTTCACTGGTCAAACTTAAGCCAATTTTCTCCCTCCTTTATTGGTTTTATTCCACTGTTCCTTCATTCAGCGAACGTCTGGAGAGTTAGGAAGGCCAGAGATCTGTCACCAATAGATAATTCTGTCTGTCAGCTTGGCCTGCCTTCTGCCTGGGATACAATGTTGGTGAAGTTAATTTGAGACAGTTCAATATGCCTGACTTGGAAAGTTGTAACCTGAAATCCCTGGTTAGATTTAAGACGGTTAAAGTTGCCTGGTGTGTGAGAGTTAGTGCCATTATTGTAGATATCTTTATAGGTTTAAATTAAAAATCAGAAATTGAATGGTTAGAAGCAATGGATACAGCATTGTTTATTCGCAGTAATAGGCCTCATTACTATAAAAATTGAAGAGAAGTATTTGCAAAGCAGAAGAGTGGTTATTGTAGACCTTTAAAGAGTAAGTTAGAGCCAGTGAGCCTTACAAGTTTTGAGTGGCAAACAGTAAACTAAAGTTCCCATTTAGGTGAGTGATGTTTTTCCTATGGAAACATCTCTTTTTCTGGATTTGTGAATAAGCCTTCCAACTTCTTTGGAGTGCTGCTTTGTCCTGTTCTTAGAAATCCAGATTAAGTCTGCCATTTTTTTGTTCTATTCTTGACATCCAGGTAAAATGAATGGAAACTGTATTGCAGTTTTGTTTTGGTATTTTTACCAACAAAACGATTAAAGCCCTTGTAATAGTTTCACTTTGAGAGAGAACATTCAATTGGACAGTTGTTAAGGATAGAGTAGACAGAAATATCTAAAATTTGGAGATAACCTGGACAATTTCTTAGATTAGATTATTATTCATCCCTGTGTTTCTTTTCCCCCAACCTTATTAAATTTTCCTCTTAAAAAGTTGCTATCTTTGTTTCTGTATATAATATGAATGTAGACATTATTACAGGAAATTGGAAAGTTGCAGATTTCTTCAGCTTGCAGTTTACTGTTTCCTGCTAAGTTCAAGTTTTATAATAAACTGCAGGTTGTGAATAGAACTATAAAGTTAATCCTCCCTCCTGTATCGAAAGACATTGAAAACTTAATTCTGTTATTTTTACCTTATGGGAGGACTAAAATTAGCATTAAATTTGTATCATTCAGTTAGCTGTGTATACTTAAGCAATTAGAAGTTCCCACTTAGATATAGTTTGTTGTTCTCTGTCCTCATGTTTTCACAGATAATAATTTTTATTAGACTGAGAACAATGCTTTACCATCAGTAAGAATTCTTGGCAATTTTATTATAGATTTGGGATGTTAAGATTCTTTGGTCCACAATTCAAGAATAAATATCTTGAGGGGGGGAGTGAGTTTTAAATGTTACATACAGAACAGCACTCTTCCTCTACGAGCCCCTCCTATCAAGCATTGATTATCTGACTAACTTACACACTGATACCAGGACAGACATGAAAGTCTTGTAGTATTTTGAAGTACAGCTTTTAAAGCAAGCAAATGCACTATTTGTATAGTCAAAATTTTAAAAATTCTGTGTATGGTACAATCCAAAAATTGAAAAATAGGGTTAGTTATGAGTGACTAAAAATAGACCGTTACCTTTTTTTTTCTTTTCTATTTTCATTTTTAACCCTTTTTTTTTTTAAAGTCCACAGATGCACTTTTGGTGGCAATCGACTCTGAAGTAGTGGGAGCTGTCGATATACTACTTAATCATCGACCAAAACGATCATCAAGACCAACTATAGTAGTTAGTACTCTTAAGTATTTATTAATTTGGATTTTTTTAAGCCAAAATAGATAACCTGCCCCATTTTTTTATCTCTCAAATTTATTTTGCTTTCAAAAAATACTTTTATTTTTTTCCCCTATGTGAGATATGACTTTTAAAGTAAATAGATATTGCTAAGGATAATAGTTCTTCTAGAAAATATTTTTAAGCTAGTGATAGTTTCCTAATTTTTTAGTGTATAATATTTTGTAGTTTATGTTAAACATAGAGCTTCTAGTGTTTTTAAGAATTAAATGTGAACAGCTAAACCGTGCTTGTAGGTAAACTTTTGATCCTTTCTGACTGTAAAAGCAGTGGGCAAAACATAATGGTGGCAAAAAGGAATCCTTTGACTATAGAAGTGAAATTTCTGGAACTAAAATATCATGCAAAATTTAGGAAGCAGATTAATAAGCTAGAGGAAGATATTTTCAGCATCTATAACAAATGAATAATTTTAAGAAGATACAAAATTAATGAAATCACCAAAATGCTTAGACTTTGATGAAAACTCCCCAAATCAGAAAAGGATATGAAAAACTCTCAGAAAAGCAGGTGAAAATTATTAAACTATACTGCTAATCAAATACAGGAAGGTACTGATTTTTATCTATCAAATTTTTGTTAAGTGCCGTTGAGAAAGCTACAGCTCAAGCAAGCAGCCTTTTATGTACAATAGAAGATTGATTTTTAGCAAAATCATGATTACTGATAAGGGAATAATACAGTTTCACTCACCCCTGGTAGAGAGTGTATTTTGGAAGGTATTTTGCAGGATGTATCAGGAACACAACACTTTGAGATCTGTTGTACTGGACGACTCAGTATAAGTGGTCTTAAGAAATCATAGGAAGGAGAAGTGAGGAAGAGAGAGGAGAGGGAAAAAAGCAATAAATAGATATAATTTGAGGAGAGAGGAGGAAGAGAGGAAACAGGAAGACAAGAAAGGGAGCTAAGAATGCAGTTCCTGTCAAATGAATCAGAAAGGTCTTGAATCCTAGTCTATTTCCTGTCATCTGTCATGCATATCCTGTTACAGCATGGTGTGTTGTTCCACCTTCTAGCCTTTTTAAGCCATTTCTAATTTTGTGGGCATGTAGATGGTAGGATATTGAAACCACTGACGGGTGTTACTTCATTACCATTACCAACTGAGTCCTGAGACCTTTGAAGTCTTCATCTGCTCCGTGAAGAACACTTTCTACTCTATCTTGAACCAATAAAGGTTACCCAGCCTTTGAATGAATACTTACCGTTTCACAACTCTGCTACTTTCAAACAGGCCATATAAATTTTTTAATATCCTTTCTTTTACCACATCACAGAATTTGTTTTGTATTTGGCTTAGCTTAATCATCTTTTTGGTAATGACTCTTCAAATCCAGCGTGTTTGTTTAGTTGTAGATATTGTTCGGTGCCATTTAGTTGACACTGACTTGTAGCCGCCTTAAATATAACACAATGAAACCTGTCCCATTCTGTGTCACCAATGAAATTATGAACTTTCATTTTATTCACCTACATAAGAACAATATTTTTCATGTAGTTAAATATATTTTATAGGAAAAAGAAGGACCATTTTTCTCTTCAGAATTAGATGTGTTCTCTCTTCTGTATAACCAGTGATATAATTTTAAATTTTCTGTTATTTTAAAAATAAACTTAGTTAATTTGAAGCCCTTAGTAAATAAATGGAGAATTGATAAAAAGCTGTTCATAGCAGGAGAGCAAATAATAAATATGTGGAAAAATATTCAAATACACAGGTAATCAAAGAAAAATAAATGACATTTTCTTAATAGTACGATTTATTCATCCCAATGAGTGACCATGCCTAGTGTTTATGAGCCAAGCTTTAATTTGAAATGGGTAGATTTGTGTATTATTAGTAACAGAAACTGTTAAGATGATATTCACAATATGTATAAAGAACTTTAAAAATTATTCTGTCCCTTTAAACCTATAATTCTACTGCTAGAGCATTAATAAAATAATCCTAAATGTGGAGAAAGTTGACTTCCTAAAGGGAGCTCTTGTGCCCTAAGTGAGTAAGGAGTTTCACTGCCAGCTCAAAGGTGGGGAGATCAAGTGCACTGGCTGCTGTACAGGAGAAAGAGGGACAGTCTCCCTGGAGCTCAGCTGTGAGTTGGTTCCAATTTGATGGCAGTAAGGTCTTTTGAGTTTTTAATTGATAAGTTAGAAGTATTGTTACTTAATTGAGTAAAATATTTTGAGCATAGCATCTGTGAATCCTTTTAAGTTGCAGTCAGAGCTCTTTGCATGATATTTTTCGGAAAATCCTGTGCTATAGTCTTATGAGGTTATTAAAAGAGTCATTGATTCCTAAAAATATTAAGATCCATTGTTTCTAATCATTGATAGTTGATATACTCAGTCTTCATGCAAAACATGTCTTTAAAAAGAGATTGGTCGAACATGAACTAGAAATATTAAACTTGAACATATTCTTTAAGTCGTAAGAGTATGAGTGTTTTTCTTTTTTTATATTTTTATCAGATACTTTTTGAGCATGTGCTGCTTTTATAATGCTAATACAGATTACCAAAAGGGAAAGGAAAAAAGTGAACTGTGGAAGCAAACAGCTTCAGGGACACTTGTGTAACAAAATGAGAAGTATTTGAAGGTTTGTGCAATAGCCCTCAGACGTTCAAACTTTTTATTTGACTCTGACTCTTTAATTACTACTGTTTCTTCCTCATGATGTGCCGTTCAAGCCCCTGGGCCCACGAAGCTGAAGGAGCTCATGCTGCAGAGCAATGCAGATGTGGGTTACGGCCAGCACTTGCTTTTTCCTGGTGTGGCCTGATCACATTAACTTCTCTGAGCCTTGGTTTCTTTGTGGGGATTAAAACACTCAATTTTGCAGACTTAATAGGGGATTAAAGGAGACGATAAATGTAAAGTGGCTAACAGTTCTAGGAATCGTTAAAGAATAACTATGATTGCTAATGCTTTCATAACTCTGTAACAGGAAAGTAGTACAGGTAATGATTGAGCATGTGCAGAGAATTAGGAAAAATGAAGAGCGGCTCCTGTTTACGGAGTCCTTTTACATAGCGTCATTCTCTCAGTATGAGAAGGTTTGCCAAGAGGTGGAATTTTTTACATGCATTTATACTCTATTTTTTGTTTCTATTTCTGTTCTTCCATTATATTAATTTTCTAAAATTCTCTTCTTTATCTTTACTGTTATCCATTTCATACTTATATAGTTTTGCAGAAACAAAATACCTTTTCCTAAGATATTTCCTAGTTATCATAAATTGCTCTTTGAAAGGAAAACAATTCTCTAATTATGTGGATGTTTCCTATTAAAATGTTTGAGCTCTTTTGACTTATTTAAAGTTTTGTAGTGTTTTTTTTTACAAAATTATTCCCAATAAAATATTTCTCATAGTCCTTAAAACAACCCTTATTTTTCCTTAAGCCTTCTATGTTTTTTCCATTTCATTCTTCAGATACCATTTTTCTTGAAGCCACAAATAGTTAATTTTGGGGCAATTATATAAATATTTTTCAGAAACTTATGGAAAGGATTCAGAATCCTGAGTACTCAACAACCATGGATGTGGCACCTGTCATTTTAGCAGCTCATCGTAACAACTATGAAATTCTTACCATGCTGTTGAAGCAGGATGTATCTCTCCCGAAGCCCCATGCAGTCGGCTGTGAGTGCACACTGTGTTCTGCAAAAAACAAGAAGGACAGCCTTCGACATTCCAGGTAAGAAAGTAAAATGGGTGGATGATGCGGTCAGGCATATGTCAACACTGTTGACTTTTTTGATGATGTTTCTTCTATGTAGCTTAAAAAACAAACAAAAAAAACTGGATATTAGAATGACACTTCCAGTCAAATCTCTAGCATCTTTCCTTAAATTATAAGTTCATTCATTTATTAGAAATGCTTACTAAAAGCTGAATGATGAATAAAATGCTTCAAATTATGAATGATGCATATCACATATTTCTGCTGGAAAAGTTGTACTCTTTGCTTTTAAAAGCAAAATTTATTCATCTAAGAACGTTTCTAATAGTAGTGGAGCTAAAGATACCATTTATTGCCCAATTTATAAAGAAATAAATTATTCTATTTAGCTAAGTATTTAACCTTTTACACTTCTCACTTTCCTTCTCACACAATGTTAAAATCTTTCTCTTCCCTATTAATCTTTTCCCACTTTTCTAACTTAAAAATGTTAAGAGTTGAGAAGAAATTGAGAGAAAAGTATCCTGTCATGCTGTGGTTGAGCAAGATCATACACTTGGGCATGTTCTGCTTGAGGTGTGTAAGGGAGCTCTTGTGGTCTCATGGGTTAGGAGTTGCACTGCCAACCCAAAGGCACATGGTTTGAGTTCACCAGCCGCTCCACACGAGAAGGATGGGCAGTAGCATCTGAAAACTTGTTGGACCGTTAGTTTTGAGTTGGTTCTAACTTGAGGGAACATAACAACATAATTGGTGTATGGTTCTGAGCTATAATTGAGACTATAATTTTTGAGCACAGACTTAAATATATGTATACACATAGAATAATGAAATATAGTAGAAGTAGTTTTAGCTATCATAGCATTTTTTATAGAAAAACGATTCTGGAAGTCCCAGAAAACCCACTGACAATTTTTAAGCTAAGGATTATTGTATAATGTATGAAATTGACTTAAGGCTGCAAACCATTTGCCTTTACTTCTTCCTTATTTTGAGAACAGATTTTGATTCATTAATGTTGTTGATATGTGCTGTCAGTCAGAGGAACCCTATGAACCGCAGACCTGAACTTTGCTCCATATTCAGCTATCCTCACCATCTCTGATAATTTTGAGGCCATTATTACAGTCACTGTATCAATCTATCTTTGTGAGAGTCTTCCTCTCTTACACTGACCCTCCACCTTTCCAAGGTCTGGCCCCTCCTAATAACATACCCAGAGTATGTGAGAGGAAGTTTCACCATCTGTACCTCCAGGAGCACTGTGGGATATCCATGGGATATTCGGTATTCTTCTCCAACACCACAATTCAAAGGCATCACTTCGTCTTCTGTCTCCTTATTCTCTGTCCAGCTTTCAGATGTAGAACAAGTAATAGAAAACCCATGACTTGAATCAGGTGCACCTTAGTCTTGAAATTGACATCATTGCTCTTTAGCTCTTTGAAGAAATCCCTGATAGCAGATTTTCCCAATGCAATGTGAGTTAATTTCTTGTCTGCTGTTACCATCAGTAGTGATTGTGGTTACAAGGAAGAGGAAATCATTGACAGTTTCATTCTGTTTCAATTGGCAACATCAGTCTGTCATGATTATTTTTGTTTTCTTGATGTTGGGATGGAATCCATATTAAAGGCTGTAGTCTTTGAACCTGTGCAGCAAATGCTTCAAGTCTTTCTCACTCTCATCAAACAAGATAGATAAAAATTCTAGAAACTGAGAAAGTCACTTGCCAATCTATTTAATGTTTCTTTGCACTAATTAAAGTTCTTTGTTTGCCTTCTAGACTTTATTTTACAATGAGGGTCTTGTGTTTCTCTTTGATGAGATCTCATTGATAGCTAAAACTATGTAACTTTTTTTTAACTATGTAACTTTTTTATTCAATAAACAGCTAACTTGTAGAAAGCCGAGCCAGCTTTAAAATAATTTATTAATATTAAATGTGAATTCTGGATGTGGAGCGTAAGAATCAGAGCAAGCATTTAACCTGGCTTGTTAGAAGTGGGGTAAAACTTAATCTCATGGCTTCTGGAGGAGCTGTCACCTGAGCTACGTCTTGAAGGATGAGTCAGAATTAAAAGGTGAAAGAGATTCTAGACAGCGAGTAGCTCACACAGTTATGGTTCTCTTGTTGCTTGTTAAATGTTGTGGCCAGTTAGGGAAGACTTGAAGGAGTTGGCTACTGATGTTTGAGAAAAGAGTTGTAGCAGGTGCTCTTACTAAAGTCATTTCCAGGAATTGTTAGGTTGCAGCCAAATGGAGTTGGGGAGGGAAGATAACTAACACGTTAAGTCAAAACAGATATGTCAAGATTGTTATTAAATTGATGAATCGGTGTACTGGCAATAAGAAAGTGAGATTATCTGTACTTGTAAGATATTTTCTTAAAAACAAGATTGCTGTTGTCGGTGAAGTTTACACAGCAGGTGAGGTCCTCATTAACAATTACTGCACAGAGGAGGACGAGGATATTGAGAGAGATCCAAGATTGAAAGATTGCCAATTCAGAAAGCATTTTCCAGCTGCTAACTTAACCTTATGCATGGCGAGCCCACTAGCCATTCTTCAGGAGGAAGGCTGGTACCAGAAGGGCCCAGAAAGGAGACGAACCACGTTCTCTGGGAGACAGCCAGAAGAACTAAAGAAGTTGTTCCTCCTGAACCCGTATCTCATCCCTGATCGCAAGAAATCCATAGCCTTGAAAATGGGTTTACCTCTGAGGGTCATCCAGGTTTGGTTTAAGAATCGTAGAGCAAAAGCCAGAAAAACAAACCTCAAGCTCAACAGCAGCACCCCGTGGAGGAAGAAGTCTGGGAGGAATTTAGACTTAAGAGTTCACGTCCTCAAATGACTTTGCTCCTGGCCCTCTGGATTATACACAACACAGGGTCCTCTCATTTCAACACAGCGTTTGTCCCACCCCTAAAAAATGCCACCAGGCCACTTTGATGGCCACCAAATAATCCATTTTGGCTGCTGCCAGGACTCCAACACCTTTTAGCTCTATCCTCTTCTGCGGTCCCAACAGTGTCCAGGTTTTAGTGGCTAATAAGCTCTTGGGCCCTGCCTCTCCAAGGGCTGAGCAAATAAACAGAGACTCACGAGGGAAGGAATCTCCACCCTCTTCCGTTCTTGCTCCAAGAGCTTAGAACCTCAGACGCCATTCATTGTGGTCAAGCCAGACATGCCTCACAGCTGGCCTTCCCCTGGGAATCTGATGCTGTAGACCGCACAGGAGGAGATCGCCCCTCTTTCTCAGGGAATGCACCAGCTGTATTCAAATTTGCCAGAGACACAGGACTTTTGGTGTAACCATGCAACTCCCCACAGTCTGGACCCCCAGAGCTCCCTTCCAACAGTATTATCTTCATCATCCTCATTGTCGTCAGGCACAATTGAGTCAACTACAACTCATAGTGACCCTCTGAACAACAGATCTGAACTGTTTTGCACCATCCACACCACCTCTGATAGCTGATTGTTGCAATCACTGTGTCAGTCAATCTCCTTGAAGGTCTTCCTCTCTTTCCCTGACTTTCACCTCTCCTGGCATGAGGTCTTTTTCCCAGGATTCTTTCTTAAACAAGAAAAAAAGAAGAAGAAGAAAAAAAGAAAGACAAGAAATAGGAAAAACAAAAAAAGAAAGAAAACCTAATAAAAAAAAGAAAAACCCTAAAAAAAAAAAAAAGGAGGAAAAAGAAAAACCTAAAAAGAGGAAAGAAACTGAACCAACTATGACCTGGACCAGGCGCATCTTGGTCTTTAAACTCACATCAATTGCTATAAGTCAAAGTTATGCAACAACACCCCTCATTGTGTTTTGGGTTTTTTTAAAAGGGAGCTTGGATGGCCTAGTGGTAAGCAATCAGCACTGCCAACACAAAGGTAAGTGGTTTGAATCTACCACCCACTCTGCAAGAGAAAGATGAGCCAGCAACTCCCCAGTGACTTACGGCCTCTGAAAACCCATGGGAGGGCCAGTTACAGGCCAGTTCACTTGTGGACCTGAGAGTACACGGCAACCCTAAGAAAAAAATTCCATCCCAGTTGACTTGGATTCTGACTCACACAACACGGATACAAAGCCCTCAGTCTTTGTGAGAAGAACTGCCATCCAACATGCCCAGTGGGCCAGTGTGAATGCCACAAGCCTTTCTAGGGAAGTCCTCAGCCCTCCTAATCGCTTGCAGCTAATCCCTGTCTCCCTGTTTTCTTAACTTCTGAATAAAATGAAATGTGATCAGTGAAGCACAAAAAACACCCAAAAAACAATTACTGCACAGAGAAATAATGTAGGTGGAATTTGTAAGTAAACCAGTATAAAAGAAAATGTTTATTAAAAAACACAAATACTAGGGGAGCTCTGGTGGCCTAGTGGTAAGGAGCGGCAACTACAATCACAGAGGTGCACAGTTCGAATCCACCAGATGCTCTGCCGGGGAAGGAGGGTCAATCTTTTCCTGTACCAGTCAGATCTGATTTGACGGTACACTCACACAAAAATAATAAAAATTAAAAACAAACAAACAAAAAACACAAATACTGCACACATTGTTTGGGGACATGACTGCACTGTAGTACAACCTGTCCTCATTCTCATTAAGTCCACCTTGACTTCCTTAATTTCCTGCAATCTGTTTCCCTGGCCCTTTGCTCTCTCATTTTTGCTTGAGAGTAATTGCTGGATACTTGGTCTCATATGATTTTTTTTCAAAATGTGGCAATAATATTCAGAAATGCTATAGTTTTATGAGCCAATTATTATTTAATTGAATTATTTAATTAAAAATTAATTAAAGAATCAAAGGAATGTAATTTTGCTTCAAGGTTTAAGAAATAACTTGGTGATAGTCCCAGGGAATCCTCTAGTCCCAACAAGTTCAGTAAATCTCTGCACTTTTCAGATTTTTTTAAATTGATTTTCTTACAAAGTTCATACACATTGTGTTTCACACTATTCTTCATTCACATTATGTTTCATACAGTCATTCTCATCCATTATCTTTTATAAA